TTTTTGTTTTTCTTTTTTGCAGCTTTGTGATTTCTTTTATTAATTATGGGCCGTGTTAAGAGTCAGTGAAGAGCTTGACATAAATAAGCAAATATGGACAGATCCGATATATGTATATAAATTCATTTACTTATACACATTCTCTCTCTCTCTCTCTCTCTCCCTCTCCATCTATCTATCTATCTTTCTCTTAATGAAGACCTTTTAATAAAATTAGTCGTCAAACAAAATATATTCTATATTAATTGCAAATAAATTCAATTGCATTCAGAGCGGGAGAGTGCGCGAATGAAAGATCTCTCTCTACCTCTCCCTCTCTCTCTCCCTCCCTCTCTCTCTCTCTCTTTCTCTCTCTCTCTCCCTTTCTCTTTATTCTAAGGCTGCACAAAAAAACAAAAGTCACTTAATTAATCAACCAAACAACAACAACAACGACTACAGCAACTACAACAACCATAATAATAATAATAGTAATAATACATAATAGCAACGAGGCAACAACAATGGCACATGTATTAAACATTTCCGTTCAGTGTCAATGTTTCGAGCGCAATTTACTCGGCTCGAGATACGACGCCAGAGTCCAGAGACGATATCAACGCCATACATACATATACATACATATGTATGTGTATATGCTATAGAGCAAAGCATGACATATGCACAAATGAAACAAGAAGAAGAAGAGCAGCAGAAAGAAATACACTTCTAATTGAATTAAGGCAAAGCAAATAAAGTATACTAGATTTTCCGAGCACTATCAAAAACAATTGAGTTTAATTGCTCGCGTCATATTTATTTTGCCCCACCCGCTCCCCGCAGACGGAGATCAGCTGTAGGAAAAGTGTCGTCCAGGCTCAGATTTTTCAGCTAGGAGCAATTGAAAATGCATAAAATACACACATACATATGTATATGTATGAATTTGAATACATGCACAGTCAATATTTAGCTGTAGTGCGTGCAATATATTTAAGTAGCAACCGAATTCTAAAGCAAACCCGAAACGCACTCATAAATTTGGCGCAGTCGCCTGACAAGCGGCCCACGCAGCAAGCAAATTGTCAGCGGAAAATGAAAGATAAAATAAAATAAAATGTATATCAGGCAGATGGAACAGAGCAAAAGTCTAACAATACAAGAAAACATGCAGCGAGCGAGCGAGCGGGGCGAGGGGCGGGCTCTGTTTCTAGCGTATTTCTCTTCTAGTTGGCTGCCGGACAATGATAAAGCAGCTTTTAATCGCTTAACTTGGCAGCAGCCACTGGCATTACTTATGGCCAACTGGATGAGTTATGCATGTGGCGAGTGGCGAGTGGCAAGCGGCAAGTGGCATGTGGGATGCGGCATGTGGCAAGTGCAATGGGCGCATCAAATAGACCAATTGCCATTGTCTGGTGTCTCCGAAAATTGCGTTTGCCACTGCCAAATAAACTCAACATCAATTATGCCAGCAATAAATGGCAGATGACTAAGGCGACAGGCCAAGCCGAGCCAAGCATGCACACGCACACATATACATACATATGCACATGTATCAGTACGTGTGTGTGTGGGTATGTAAAATGATTCTGTGAATTGAAGCGCATGCCCCGGTCGAAAGCTTTGGCCGAGATTGATGTCGCAGCACATTAGGCGCAATGCAACTCAATCAATACGTTAAGCCAACGGCTGTGCCATTAATGACTATGACAATGATCATCATCATCATCTTCGTCATCATCATCGTCATCGTCATGCAATGCTCAGGCCACGTACAAAAACAAACAACGGAACGCAAAAGGCGTCCAGCAAAAGTCACTCCGAACGAGCCGAGCTGCGAGCCCAGCGGTAGCCGCGTAATTAGTCTTCTGGCCGACACTTTTGCCTGCCTAGAGATGGCCGCGTGACACGACGGCCCCCCAGTTACCCAATGAGTCCCCCTAGTCTACCGCATAAAGCTCGCATATACATACATATATTATCTATATATACATACATTCGATTATAATTCAAAAATTATATATATAAATAATTTCATTTATATACATATATAGATACTTACATATACATACATATATAATGATTGTACGGCGTGTCGAGCAGTGCTGCTCGTGTGGTGCTGCTGCCATCGCTAACTGCAACTCTGCCAGCTTCAGCGGCAACGATGAGCGATGAGCGATGATGCGACCTCCCGTGTCGTTCGATTTCCGCGAAATCAAAGCGCGCCCAGCTGCAGCAGCAGCCCATATAACACTAACTTCAATGCCAGGGCCGTTCAAGCGAACTGTGATTGATATCGAGCCGAGCCAGGGGCAGAAACGAGAGAGCAAAGCAACAATAACAACAGCAACAGAAACAAAAAGAGCAAAGCGTTGCTATCATTGCTATCGGGTTTTTAGGCCAAGCTTAGATAAAATCGTCAAGAGCATCGTCGCGCTTGCAAAAGCCAACTAAAGTTATAAACATCCTTTTGCACCTCATTGCAGGCTCGATTGCTTCCGAGGATCTGTCGCTGGAGCCGCAGGTGGTGTCCGCAGCCAGCCCCGTGTTGTCTTCCTGCAGCCCGCTGAAGGAGGAGCGCAGCACGCCGCCCGCGCTCTCCATTGTCAAGGAAGAATCAAGTAATAATAGCTGTAACATGTACCCACTACACAACAACAACCACAACAGCCACCACACATCTGCAACAACAACATCAACAACAGCAACAACAACAACCGACACAGCAACAGCCAAGCAAACGGCGAGCGATGTCAGCAACACTGAAAGCGTTCGCTCGCCCGCAGCAGCAGCCACAGCTGCGGCTGGCAGTAGCAGCAGCAGCAACAGCAACAGCAACACACACTCACAACAACAGCAGCAGCAACAGCTGCAGCACAACAACAACAACAATAGCCACTGTCAACACAGTCACCAACAACAACAGCAACATCAGCAGCATATGAGCTCGCCACAACACCAACAACAATACCAACTACAACAACAACACCAAATACTACACCAACAACAACAGCAACAATTGCCACACCATCATCATCATCATCATCACCATCACCACAATCATCATCAACACCAACAACAGCAACAGCAACACCAGCAACACCAACAGCAGCAACACCAACAACAGCAACACTACCAACAGCAGCATGCACTACAACAACAACAACAACAACAACTGCCTGGCAAAATCTCATACCGTGCCGTTTTCACCACGACAGGTAACACCAACAACAACAGCATGAGCGCGGCCCAGCAGCTACAGCACCAGCAGCAGCAGCAACAGCAACACCAGCAGCAGCAGCAACAACACCAACAGCAATCCCCACAGCTGAGCGTGATGCCCGGGCAGATGTCGCCGCCGTCGAACAGCTTGGGCAACAGCTGGGGCCTGCCCAGTCCGGACAAGTCGCTCTTCCAGCCACCCATGTTCAGTCTGCCCGCCCACTACGCCCTGCAGCAGCAACAGCAGCAACAGCAGCAGCACCAGCAGCAACAGGCAGGCGCTGCCACGCCTTCGCCCTACGACGACGGACGCGCTGCCGTGACTGCGGCTCAGCACGCCGAGCTGTTGGGTCTCAGCATGGACTGCACGCCCCTGAAGCAGGCCTCGATCTACACGGGCGGCACCGTCTCAACCGCCAACTTTGCGGGCCTCGCCGAGCTGCACAGCAGCCACGAGCAGCTGCAGCAGCAGCAGCAGCAGTACGCCGTTCGCTCCCAGCTGTCCGTGAGCACGCCCAAGTACCAGTGGCTGGACACACCCGCTGACTACGTGGCGGCCGCTGCAGTTGTCCAGCAGCAGCAACAGCAGCAGCAGCAACAGCAGCAGCAGCAGACCCTGGTGCTACCTGGACCCACGTCCTCGGCTAGCTCGAGCAACGCAGCGCTCGGCGTGCTCATACCCAAGCAGGAGGCCTACACGGACATGCAGCCCAGCTCGAACGGCACGGGCTACTCCAGCGCCTCGGCTGCTGCGGCTGCGGCAGCCGCTGCCGCCGTCCAGCTGGCCGAGTACAGTCCGTCCACCAGCAAGGGCCACGAGATACTGTCACAAGTCTACCAGCAGAGCAGCGTGCCGCTGAAGCTGGTGCCCGTCAAGCCCCGCAAGTACCCCAACCGGCCCAGCAAGACGCCCGTGCATGAGCGGCCGTACGCGTGCCCCGTGGAGAACTGCGACAGGCGCTTCTCGCGCTCGGACGAGCTCACCCGCCACATCCGCATACACACGGGACAGAAGCCATTCCAGTGCCGCATCTGCATGCGCAGCTTCAGCCGAAGCGACCACCTGACCACCCACATCCGCACCCACACCGGCGAGAAGCCCTTCAGCTGCGACATCTGTGGCCGCAAGTTCGCCCGCTCCGACGAGAAGAAGCGACACGCCAAGGTGCACCTGAAGCAGCGCATCAAGAAGGAGTCCAAGCTGAGTCGCGAGCAACACCAGCAGCAGCAGCAGCAGCAACAGCAACAGCAGGCAGCAGCTGCCGCAGCAGCAGCCGCCCAGCAGCAGCAACTGCAGCAGCAGCAACACCACCAGCAGCAGCAGTACCAGCACCACCACCTGCTGCACGCCGCCGATCTGGCCAACGTGGCTTCCAGTGCGACCAGCATGTAGGCCACAGAGAACTCAACGTCTTCGATTGATTTCAACAGCAGGCGCCGCCGGCCGACGGACTACGAGGAGCTGGGCATCGATCTCAGCCTGGCCATAGACATCGACGAGAGTCCCGAGTCCTTCGAGCTCGCCCTGACGTCCGACTACGAGACGCTGTCGCCGCTGACCAGCTCGCTGGACTTGAACTATGTGGTGGCTAGCCAGGACTCCTGCAGCCAAGGCCTTTAAGCTCCAACTAGATACAATAAGAGTTCAATATATTTCGACTACCAATCTCAAGCAGGAATCAATCGCTGATGCTGAATTTAAGCAACAAAAACTAAAAAACAAAACTGAACTAAAAAACAAGGATTAAAAAAAAATAGCAAACAGAGATAAAATTAGCTAAATAATTTCTAAAGTTGTAGCCGTAATTTTTGGGTTGTGCTAGCAGCAAAATCTACGCAAGACATATATGTTAAACATAGCCTATATATAATATTAAAAACTAAACTCAAGCGTCGCTAGGCAGCCACAGTAAACAAAAACAATAACAACAACAACAAAAAACAATAACAACAGCATAGTTACTAACCCAAGCAAAGTCTTAAAACTAAACAGAAGAAGAAGAAACATAAAATGGAAATAAAATGCAAAAAAAAAAAAAAAAAAAAAAAAAAAAAAAAAAAAAAAAAAAA